CCGGCAACGGTCTGTAGCGCGCCCCTCAGGCAGGGGAGCGCCGGCAACGGTCTGTAGCGCGCCCCTCAGGCAGGGGAGCGCCGGCTAAGGTCCCGGCGTGGCTCTGCCGGGTAGGGGAACGCAGGCCCACCCTACACCACTGCGCTCCAGCCCAGGGCCCTGACAGTGGCAGAACGAGGGTCCCACCACTGGGTCAGCGGGGTCGTCCCGCTACATAGACTCACCACTGTGCAACTCTGTCCCTGGGCTACTTTCTACCCGATTGCTCGCCCGAATCCCTCTGGTCCCGTGAGTGCGTCGGGGTAGTCCGCTGCTGGCAGCTCCGGCTCCCCCTCAGGCTCCTCCAGCTCCTCTGGGTACTCGGCTGCTGGCAGCTCCCGCTCCCCCTCCAGCTCCTCCAGTTCCTCTGGGTATTCGGCAGCAGGCAGTCCTGGCAGCCCCAGTCCGTCCTCTAGGTGAGGTTTCCACGGGTCCAGGGCCTCCCCTGGTGTGGCAGCAGGCTCTGAAGGGAGCAGCCCGCGGTCTGTGTCTGCCTCCCTCCCTGGTGCTGCCCTAACTGAGCTAAGGGCCCCGCCCTTTATACTTCCTGCTCCACCCCTCCCCTTCCGGGGGGTGGAGCGAGCTTGGGCTGGCCCCGCCCACTCAGGCTGAGGGAAAGGCACTTTACCCTCAGGTTCGGAGGGAAGCCACCCTGGCTCCCTACAGTTACAAAGGGATCTCACAAAACTGGGTGACTGGGGAACAAAATGGCAGATGAAATTCAGTGTTGATAAATGTGAAGTAATGCACATCGGAAAACATCCCAACTATACATTCAAAATAATGAGATTCTAAATTAGCTGTTATCACTCAAGAAGGAGATCTTGGCGTCATCGTGGATAGGTCTCTGGAAACATCTGCTCAGTGAAGAAAGCTAACAAAATTAGGAACCTTTGGGAAGGGATAGAAAATAAGACTGAAAAGATCATAATGCCACTATATAAATCCATGGTAACCCTCATCTGGAATACTGTGTGCAGTTCTGGTCTCCCAATCTCAAACAAGATATGTTAGAATTTGAAAAAGTACAGAGAGAAAGGCAACAAAAATAATTAGGGGTATGAAAAAGCTTCCATATGAGGAGACTAAAAAGAATGGGACTGCTCATCTTAGAAAAGAGAGGACTGGTGAGGCGCTGGGAGGGAGGGGAAAGGAGGTATAAATTTAAATAAATAAATTAAAATTAAATTAAATAATTTTTTTAATTATAGGAGATATCTCCTAGAACTGGAAGGGACCTTGAAAGGTTATTGAGTCTAGCCCCCTTCCTTCACTAGCAGGACCAAGTATTGATTTTGCCCCAGATTCCTAAGTGGCCCCCTCAAGGATTGAACTCACAACCCTGGGTTTAACAGGCCAATGCTCAAACCACTGAGCTATCCCTCCCCCCAATGATGATAGAGGTCTATAAAATTATGAATGGCGTGGATAAAGTGAATAAGGAAGTATCATTTACTCCTTCACACAGGTGTCTCCCAATGAAATTAGTAGGCAGCAGGTTTAAAACAAACATAAGTACTTCTTCACACAAGACAGTCAACATGTGGAACTCATTGCCAGGAGATGTTGTCAAGACCAAAAGTATAACTGGGTTAAAAAAAAAAATTAGATAACTTCATGGAGGATAGGTCCATCAATGGCTATTAGTCAAGATGATCAAGGATGCAACCCTGTGCTCTGGGTGTCCCTAAGCCTCTGGGCTAGTCTATACTGGCAACGCTAAAACGCTGCCGTGGCAATGCTTTAACATGGTTTGTCTAGTCACAGCAGAGCGCTGGGAGAGAGCTCTCCCAGTGCTCTTAAAAAACCCATATCCATGAGAGGCGTGGCTACCAGCGCTGGTTCACTGTTTACACTGGCGCTTTACAGCGCTGAAACTTGCTGCGCTTAGGGGGGTGTTTTTTCACATGTAAAATAAACAAACATACACACATTTTTAATTGACTAAAATGTTACTAATTGTTTGTATTGCTATGCTTTTTATCTTTGGAACTAAGGAAACTAAGGGTTTTAGTAATGTTGTTCCCTAAGTTAAGGGATGGTGTTGGGATATGGGAGGAACCCTCACCTATTTTACCTCCCTCAGAAGATAGTGATTTCATGGTAGTGGGGTCTAGAAGAACCTCATACCCTCTTCTTGTTCCTTCAGAGAGATTGCTGCTTTTTCCTAGCTTTTTTCCATTGTCTCCGCCTCTACTGTTTTCCTTGCCTGCATCAGCTGCTGTTATACCATGTGACACCTCCCCTCATGCCCCAGCAATTATAGAGTAGCAGCATTAGGTTTTTAGGGTTAAGTTGGTGCAGGGGGAACAGCTGAAGACATCTCTAGTGTCTTTACGGACTTTCTAGCTGGTTTTGTGTCTGTGCCATACACTCTCTTACTCCTTTATTGCCCTCTTCCACTGATGGGCAGTGTTCATTCAGTGCCTTAACTTATCAAGCAGCTGAGCCTGCTCTTCATCCATGGTGACCTAGCATATGATAGATATCAAACAGCTCTTGTCCCCTGTTTACTTGTCTGTCCCCCTCCCTGCTATCATAACTGTTGATGGCAGACTTTGTACACCTCATTATGAGTAATGTAAAAGTGTTTCCCCAATACTGTGGTCCCCACTTGAGTTCTGAGACCATGGCTCAGTTTTTTGTTGCAATGGTATAGGAGGCTCTTTGGTTATCAGCCACAATCAGCATAAAGAAGTCCCACCTATTATTTTTTAGTTTAGAATGTTTCCCATCATCAACTGTTTAATAAAATCATATACTCTATTTTAAAATTGTGACTGTCATAACTATAAAGGGAAGGGTAACAGCTCTCCTGTGTACAGTACTATAAAATCCCTCCTGGCCAGAGACTCCAAAATCCTTTTACCTGTAAAGGGTTAAGAAGCTCAGGTAACCTGGCTGACACCTGACCCAAAGGACCAATAAGGGGACAAGATACTTTCAAATCTTGGGGGGGAGAAGGCTTTTGTTCTCTTTGTTTTGGGGGTTGTTCGCTCTTGGGACTGAGAGGGACCAGACATCAATCCAGGTTCTCCAAATCTTTCTGAACAAGTCTCTCATATTTCAAACTTGTAAGTAAACAGCCAGGCAAGGCGTGTTAGTTTACCTTTGTTTTCTCAACTTGTAAATGTACCTTTTACTAGGGTGTTTACCTCTGCTGTAACTTTGAACCTAAGGCTAGAGTGGGGGTCCTCTGGGCTCTTTAAGTTTGATTACCCTGTAAAGTTATTTTCCATCCTGATTTTACAGAGATGATTTTTACCTTTTTCTTTCATTAAAAGCCTTCTTTTTAAGAACCTGATTGATTTTCCTTGTTTTTAGATCCAAGGGGGTCGGATCTTGATCCACCAGGAGTTGGTGGAAGGGAGGAGGGGGGATGGTTAATTTCTCCTTGTTTTAAGATCCAAGGGAATTGGTGAAGAGTCTCTCAAGGCTACCTAGGGAAGGGAGTTAGCCCATTGGGAGTGGTGGCAGCGGACCAGATCTAAGCTGGTAGTTAAGCTTAGAAGTTTTCATGCAGGCCCCCACATCTGTACCCTAAAGTTCAGAGTGGGGAAGCAGCCTTGACAGTGACCCATGGCTCATTGACTATTATCAACATTAGAAGACTTCCATCTTGCAAAATAAATGAGATGCTTATCCCCACAGAGTGTTACCCTGCTGAAAATGTTATCTTGGTGGAGTTCTGAAATAAGACAGAATGCTTCTGTTCTCAACAAACTTGTTAGATTGAATAAACACCTCAAGCACAGTTTTGGTTTTTTAATTAATTTGCCTTTGAGCAGCTAACTATTTATCCTAGTTTAACACTAGAAAACAATGCATGTAGACTGGGGCTCTAGCAGTATTTGTTCTGTCTCCACCAGCTAAGGGAAGGCCTGTTGATTTCTGAATTTGTACTCACACAGTTGTGTGAAGTACATTCTCAGTTATAAAATTACTTTCTGAAAAGATTGTTCTGAAAAGTCATTTGCATTTATAAATCTTTTTAAGAGTATCTGATACGTTTTCTTTTTTTCTTGACAGTCTGTGGTGGACGACTGGATTGAATCATATAAACAAGACAGGGATATAGCACTTCTGGATTTAATCAACTTCTTTATCCAGTGTTCAGGATGTCGAGGTACCGTGGAAAAAAGTGATTTAAAATAAATCTAAACTAAGTGACAGTCATACAATGTATATTTCAGTGTGAGTGCTTCTAAACATGCAGGAGACCTTGGGTCAACACTCCTCATGCATGGTTTAGTCAGGCAGTTGTAGTATTTTGTGTACTTCATGGAATAATTCCAGTTAAAGTTTGTCGAGAGCCTTCTCTCTCTCTTTCCCCGTCTCCATTCTAAAGAGTACAAATCCTCACAGAGATTGTTATGACTCCATCAACTAGCAAAAAAGGAGACAGGAGTTATTAATCAAGGTAGGTATATATTTATATATCCCTGACTCCCCATTTCTATTACCCCCCAAATCTTTTTTTTTTCTTAACCAGAAGCCCTGTGTGCAGGTATACCTTAACTTTTTCCTTTTTTTCTTCCCTCTAGGAATTAAGTTTTGAAAATTGGAGAGAGGATTTTTTCTTAGGCTTCAACTGCCTTCACGTTAACCCCAAAGACCACTCATCTGGGGATAGGGCGCCAATCCTGTCTGTCTCAAATTCCCTTTCGAGCTATCAGAGATAACGCAATTATCCTGCCCCACCCTCAGACTTTCTCCATTGATGTGGGGAGTGGCAGCCCTTGTAGGATCTCACCTGCCACCCCATCTTCTTTGTGAGCATACACTAGGTCAGTGGTTCTCAACGAGAGGTCCGGGGCCCCCTAGTGGGCCGCGAGCAGGTTTCAAGGGGACCACCAAGCATGGCTGGTGTAAGACTCGCTATGGCCCAGGACAGAAAGCCTAAGCCCCACCGCACGGGACTGCACCCTGAGGCCCCGAGCCCTACCACCTGGGGCTGAAGCCAAAGCCTGAGCAACTTAGTTTTGCAGTGCCCCCTGTTGCGTGGGATCCTGGGCAATTGCCTTGCTTGCTATCCCCTAATGTCGGCCCTGGCTTTTATATGCAGAAAAACAGTGTTGTGGCACAGCTGGGCTGTGGAGTTTTTATAGCATGTTGTGGGGGCCTCAAAGTTGAGAACCCCTGTGCTAGGTGTCTTTGTTCTTTCACTTGTCCAAAATAAATAAATATAAAAAATGTCCAGCTCTATTCACCTGAAGAGACTGTATGCATTGAAATCCCCTTCCAATCCCTGTCAGTTCTTGCTCTACTTCCACAGTAGATAGCAGCAGGAGAGAGTGGGTTACCCTTTGTAGGCTCTGGAGGACTCCAAGGACTCAAGATCTCACTTTCTGCTTGTTTTGGCTGGAATGGAATAGTTAAACCAATGATACTTAGACTGAGGCTTGAGAGCCGCAAGTGGCTCTTTAATGTGTCGCTTGTGGCTCTTTGCAGCACAGAATATTAAAACACTGTGTGATTTAATTATTAACCAATCTAAGTTATTAACCAATTGTAGTTGATAAAATAATACTTGGTCAGTCATTTTGCTGTGAGAATAATATATATAAAAATAGTAAATGGAAAAATGAATTCACACCACTGTGGCTCTTTTGAGTAATGTTGATTGCTAATTTGGCTCCTGAACCACTGAGGTCTGTTTGAATGTAGTGGTACTTTTTTTCAAGCTGTTTTAGAGACAGTTTTAGGTGCAGTCCCCATGTTCTCTCAACAGTCAGAGGCATCAGGCCAACAACATTCCCTTTCTACTCCTAAGCAGCTTGCCTCAGTAGACCTTTTGGCAGCATGGGAGAGGAAACTTCTATTACAGGCTGTACAGTGGGGTTCTCCCAGGATTTGGGGCTTTCCTTTCCGTGGTTGTTAAGGTTGAGGGTTCAGAACCACTCTGTGTCAGTGGCTCTAGTACTTCTGACTGAGGAGATTGCTCAGAGTGTTTTCAAAACTTGTTGGGCAGCTTGCTTCAAAGTGGTTATATTCTGTCCGTTTGATCTCTTCCTCCCTCCCTCCCAATTTGCTGATGTGTCCCTGAGCCAGGTGTACTGGCCGCTGCAGAAATCACAGAGGTTATGGAAAGTCACAGAATCCGTGACCTCCGTGACAAACTTGTAGCCTTAGTCGTAGATTTTTAAGGCAAGAAAGGACGGTTAAGGTTTTATTTTCTGATCTCCTATGTTCACGTGTCGGGGGCTGGACCCATACAGGAGTGCCTCCTACTGGTCAGCGGTGTCTCTGAAATCCTCTAGGTCATCGTGACCATTTTCCCAAAAGCATTTTGAAGTATACAGATGAGGTCAAGATCATTCAAGAAGTCTGGTTCTTCAGGACCGGTTTTATTAACTCAGAAGAAAATAATTCCTTTTACCCCATCACGGGGACAGATTCAGTCCTTTCCCAGCCTTTCTGCCTGGGCAAGTTTGATCTCTCTTTCCTGAGGTCTTCATAAAGTCTACTTTGTTGGGCATTAAACTAACTAACACAAAGTCCAGAAATTTAATCAATTCAAAGTCCAGCTGACTTGGCCCACCATTCGAAGTCAATTTTCATAAATCTTACCAGTCTACTCCCTTTGTCCAGCAGGAATCCAAAGATTCCCTAAACCCTCTTCAGGGTTTCTCCCCCCAGGAACCAATCTCTCACCTGTTGGGGGCCTCTCGAGCCCGTACTGGCCCCCAGGCTTGTGTGCCTCAGGGCTCAACTCTCACTGAGCTTCTAACTCTCTTTATTTCTTCTTTTAGTTTCTCCCCACACCTGGTATTAATCAGTTCAATTTATCTCCCTTGTTAGGAAGGTACTAAAATCAGATGTCCTCACTCTAGGGCCTAATTAATCAATTTAAGGGGTATGCTGAGCCGGCACAGGTGCACTGGCCCTGTATTACCCTCAAGAGTCAGTCACCCTGTGACAACATGTGACAAAATGTTGCCCAGTGATTCTGTATCTAGCCCAGAAACTTGTGGTTGAACTGGAGTATGAACTCTCCAAGAAAACTAAGCTTCATATCCCTGTGGGGATCTAA